CATTTCCAAAGATTTCTTTTGCAGAGTTAAGTCAAGCAACTAATGACTTCTCATCAGCTAACTTGATTGGCGAAGGAAGTTTTGGCTCTGTTTATAAAGGAATCATGGGTGACAATGGAATGCTAGTTGCAGTGAAAGTGTTGAACCTTAAGCAAAAAGGAGCATCCAAGAGTTTTGTGGCTGAGTGTGAAGCTATGAAAAACATTCGTCATCGGAATCTAATCAAAGTTTTGACTGTCTGTTCCAGCATAGACTTTAAAGGGGTCGATTTCAAGGCTATAGTGTATGAGTTCATGCAAAATGGAAACTTGGACGAGTGGCTGCATTCAAATGAAGTCAAAGTGGGAGTTCGGAATTTCGGTTTCATCAAGAGACTAAACGTAACAATTGAAGTTGCACATGCAATTGAGTATCTGCATTACCACTGCCAACCAACAATTGTTCATGGTGATCTCAAGCCAAGCAATATTCTACTTGATCATGAAATGGTTGCTCATGTGGGTGATTTTGGACTGGCAAGATTCCTCATTTCCTCAAAGAAATCAAGCTCCCTTGGTATAATAGGGACCATAGGCTATGTTGCTCCAGGTAATATTAGTTTTACCTTGAATTTGTGCAGTAAAAGTTAAAGTTTAGCATCTAGGTACTGATGAATTGATCTCATGTTTCCTTACTTTCACCGCTAACCTTTTCATTCAGAATATGGAATGGGTGGAAAGGCATCTATGGCAGGTGATGTGTTCAGCTTCGGGATTCTCTTGTTGGAGATGATTACAGGGAAGCGACCAACTGATGCAACATTCAAAGATGGCCTGAACCTTCACCAATTTGCCAAGCTAGCATTGCCAGAACATGTGATGGACATTGTTGATCCTTCATTGCTGCAGGAACTTCAAAGTACAGATGAAAATGTTGTGGATACACGAAGAGACAGAAGAGAAAGGAAAGTCAGTATCAAGGAGATCCTCATTACCTTTACAAGAATAGGAGTTCTCTGCTCAATGGATTCTGCAAATGATCGAATGGAGATGAAAGATGTGGTTGTAGAATTATGTATTATTAGAGATAAGTTTCTTGGTAATCATTCATAGATTTTGATGAAGGAATCAAAGTAAGCTCTCTTTTTTTGGAAAAACTTTCGTTTACCTTAGTCTTTTAGCTTTTCTGCTATGTCTGGTGTGATTTTATTTCTACTGGAATGTTGGTACCAAACTTTAAGAATTCTACTTGTGTGGGTTGCTAGCTGAGTTCAGATGATAATGAACGCAATGCAGAAGATTGCATGCAACTGTTTGTTCTTTTGCTTTTCTAATATTTGCAGTTTTTCTTATCATGTACTCTACCATATCTAGCCCACTCTTTGCCATTTCCCTCTCACAGAACTTCTATGTAAGAGTGCTGCTTTTTAAAATTAATTCAATAAAAAATTTCCACCAGTAGCAGGAGCTTCTTAATTTGTTACTTTCTTTCTCCTCTCTTTTTCCCTAGGATCAAAGTTCTTGTCTGATTCCTTATTTTATTTTCTAATTCTAGAAGTTTCACTTAGATATTTCAAACTTGGAACTTGGAACTTGTAACCCTTTAAAAATTGGTAATTCTATTCAATAAATTGAATTTCTTTTTTGAGTTTAAATTTGTAGAATTTGATTTTTTTTTATTTATTATTTTATTACTTCTCTAGTTAATCTTATATTTTTAATATTATATAAAATTATAAATTTATAATTATAACATGTAAATAAATGAGTAAATACATATTTGTCATTTAGCTACGGATAAAAATTATATGTATTTGGTAAAAATCTGTAGGTATATCCCATTATGGCTCTCTCTAAAATTCCATATACTCAACAAAGCACTTAAGTTGTGCTTTTATCCACAAAATGATCATAACCATTTCATTAAGGCTCCAAAAAAAATATTTCCATATTCATTTGCTTACCTCGGCTTGCTTTTGAAAAAAGTTCATAGCCAAAAAGCTTGCTTTCTGAACAGTTAACATCATAGCACCCATTGATTTTACAAGAAAAGATGAAAACTCAAGAAAATCAAATTCAATTCAATTTAAGATAAAAAGCGCCAAAAATTGAAAGAAGCTTTCTAGCAATAAATTAAATTAACTGCATCAAGAACTTTCCAAGTCCTTTCCCTTGAACCTAAGGGATGCCCAAGCTAAATTTCATACACATAAACCACAGCAATCTCCTCCTCGAAGAGTAAAAAGATGCTGTACAAACCTCACAAGGGTTCCCAGTCCCACCTTCATTTACAAATCGATCCCTAGGCGCCCTTTGATACCGAACAGGCGGGAGAACATCGTCGAGAAGAAATCTTTGAGCGATCGACTGGAAGAAGAGTAATCATGTTGGAGAAGAGGTACACAGCCTATCGGATTCGAACAATGAAGAAGGGGATTATGACCGCAAAGAGATTAAGAGGATCGAGGGTTCCTTTTTTTCAGATTAAAAATGAACGATGTTGGTTTTGGAGTGCGGACTGTAACCTTTTTTACAGTCCGTACTGAAAAACAGTTTTCTGTAAATATAAATCAGTTACTCTTTTTCGATAAATAAGACAAGTTGAATACCAAAAAAAAAGCTAGATGTGACTAAACGAAATCTTATATTTTATTGAATATAATATTTTTTAACAAATTGTTCTTATAGCATGGTGCTGACATCACGAATAATGTGTCGACACCATGCCCGTGTCGGGTTTCCGGCCCATTTTTGCAATTCTTCAATGGTAAAATGACAGTTCTGGTCCTCTAGCTTTTATAACCCATAACCTAAGAGTCATTCATTTAGGTCCAAAAGGAACCATTTTTCTTTTAACTCAGTCCCTAAACTTTCAAAAGTATTTAATTAATCACAAAACTTTAATTATTATGCATTGAAATCCTTTTTTACCCAAAGAATGAAAACTTTTTACATTTTTTAATAATGATCATTTTTAGTTATATGAAGATTTTTTTTTTTGTTATCTTTTTGATGAATAATGAATTGATATGTTTATTAATAAGGTTATTTATCTTTTTTTCTTTTACTTGGAAAAAAATGTAGTGTATAATTTCAAGCACTTCATATATTTTTGATACTTTTTTTTTTCAATTTCGAACTAAGTTTCTTTTTTTTTTTTTAGCGCATTGTTAAAAAAGGGGAAATTGATCTTATGTTCATGGAAACATTAGTCAAAAGCATTAATTAAATAGTAATTAATTTATTATTAATTTCTAGTAGTGAGTATATACTTACAATTGTAAAAAATTATAAGTATAATTTAATGTTATACCCATAATTATATATGATTGAAGGTATATCTTTGGTCTATACCTACTGTTTTTTATGTATACAAGTAAATCTTAAATTCATATATCACAAACCACATACTGTAACTAATAGTTCTTCTATATACCTATATTAATTGAAATTACATAAGTATAATATGATTTTTCTTACGAATTTTTTTTGGTTGTAACTATAACTTATCTATATATCCATAAATCATAAATAATAACTAATAGAAGCTTATACCCATGAAATAGTGACCATAGGTAAAAAAAAAGCGTAGCTAGATGACAAAAATGCTGTAGTGTGTTTGTTCTTTTCCTTTTCTAATATTTGCAGTTCTTCTTATCATGTATTCTACCATATCTAGCCAACTCTTTGCCATTTCCCTCTCACAGAACTTCTCTGTAAGAGTGCTGCTTTTTAAAATTAATTTAATAAAAAATTTCCACCAATAGCATAAGCTTTTTTTTTTTTTCTTTGACAAAGGTAATGGTTAGGAAATTAGTATAAATTAGTTGTTAGTAACTAATTCTCAGATCGAGTGAACATTCCACCCCTTCAAATGAGACGCGTTTTTTGGTGAAGTTCTCAACGATGATGAAATTCAAAACTCTGACCACCTCACCCAAACATTTAAGGCTTGAAGTCGAACCATTGAGCTTAAAGGCCCGGTTCATAGCAGAAGCTTCTTTGTTACTTTCTTTCTCCTCTCTTTTTTCCTAGGATCAAAGTTCTTACTTGTCTGATTCCTTATTTTATTTTTTAATTATAGAAATTTCACTTAGATATTTCAAACTTGGAACTTGGAACTTTGGAACCCCTTAAAAATTGGTAATTGGAACTTTGGAACCCCTTAAAAATTGGTAATTCTATTCAATAAATTGAATTTCTTTTTTGAGTTTAAATTTATAAAATTTGATTTTTTTTATTTATTATTCTATTACTTCTCTAGTTAATACTATACTTCTAATATTATGTAAAATTATAAATTTAAAATCATAACATATAAATAAATAAATAAATACATATTATATTAATGATATATTATTATTATAAATTTATAATATTATACGACATTATAACTATTTCATTTTAGATTCTCTTAGTTATATTTCGATGATAAATGCCATCAAAAGTTTTTTCTGTCCACTTAATTATGGATTTTATGCCTGCAAGTCTTTTTTTTTTTTTTTTTTAAGAAATGCAAAATTGCAAAGACTTTTATTAGTAAAGTTACTAAAGTATAAAGCTACTCTTACCTATGTACAACTAGCTGAATGAAGACAACTCAATCAAGATCAAAATCCATGACAGTTAAAACCTTCTGTATATCTGGCACCTTCTTGGGTTTTGATTTTACTCGGAGTAAGAGTATGGTCAACAATCAATGATGGCACTGATCCAAAAGTAAGAAAGGTTTTTGTACCCGTTCAAAAACAGCATCCACATTCATCTGTTTTCCATTAAAAACCACCCATTTCTCGCAAGCCATAAGGACCAGGTTTTTGCGTACCATACTACCCTCCGTCCTTTCTGGTTCTTTGTTGCCCATGCGTGCTGTTTCAAGACTTCTTTGTAGTCATAGTACATGGCATACGCTATATTCCACCATCCAAAGCACTTAAGCCAAACCAAATATGATTTGTGACAAAGCAACATTAAATGATTGATATCTTCCTTCATTGTACCACAAAACCCATCATCTGGTCTCATTCTCGTGCATAATTATGTTTCTTTTTTGCAAATTTTCCTTGCATGGCATCCTCATTTGAAGTAACAGCCAGGCAAAAGCGAACACCCTCTTGGTAACGTAAGCTTGTGACCCAAGTGGGGGCAATATGGTGATGTGAAGGGTGTGTTCGACGGGCTCCGGGCCAATACTTCGGGTCAAGGGCACCACACGGTCACACGGTAAACCAGTGGCTGAGCACTTGGAGACCAGAGAAGGCAACGGCCCCCCTGGTCTTTCAAAAATTTGTTAAATAGGTCCCTACATTTTACAAAATATTAGTATCATAAATTTTAGAAAAATTACATGTTTATTTAAGAAATTATTAAAATATATCTATTGATTTTCACTTAATTCCATTCAAACATTCTTTAATAATTAGTATTGTGTCTCTATAAAATCTTGTTGAAATTTCTTTGTATTTTATGTTTCACTTGTCAATTTTGTTTAGATAAGATTTAATGAAAAGATAAAAATTTCTTATTTCTTTGACAGTTATTTTAAATATATGTATGTATTTAGTTATGAGAGAATGATAAATTTTGTTTTCTAATGTAGAAAATCACTACCTATTTATAAATAATATATATAGTTTTTATTTTTTTTAAATATCTTTAATTACTTAACATATCTATCATAATGTAATTTAATTATTGAAGATTTGTGCCATGTATATTGTTTTGTCCTCAAACCAAGTGGTATACCGTATACCATACAAATAATTTTGAATTTGGTATGCTAATTTTTTAAAACATTTTAGCTTAGTGGTTTGTATATATTAATATTTTATAATAATAATTTTATTTAAAACTATGATTTAAATATTAAGTAATGACATAAATTTTAAGTAATTTTTATATATTAAAAGTATATAATTTTAAATTTTATAAAAATAAATCATAATTTTATTTAAAAATTAAAATTCTAATAAAATACAGCTTTTTTAAACCACCGCCGCTCGTGTTTGGAAGTAGGAAAGCAAGCGTAAAGGCAACTCATTTTTAGCTTCTGTATAAAGTATAAGTGCTTTATATTGTTCAACAAAATGGAAAAAGGCCGGCTGCTTCAGAAAATGGTGCTTGATTGAGGGAGAGAGAGAGTGAAAGAAGTGAACCGCAGGAAGAGGGGGAGAGGGTCAGAGGATTTTGAAGTGACTGTGGCCTGAAAATATGACCGCTGCTAGGGACTTCATTTAAAATTCAGTTGGGCTTTATTATTGATTATTTGTGTGTCAGAAAGAGGTTTCATATAACTGGGCTTTAGGACTTGGGGACCGAAGCAACTGGGCTCCTTTGAGAAGTGTTCATTTGTCTTCTGTACTACCATAGACTACTCTCGTCTCGTTTTTCCAACACTATTGCCTTGTGTTGTGTCGGAGCTGCGAGCATGCCTCTCTCTCTATTTAATTTTTAATTGTTTTAATTTGATTTTTATTTTTTTAAATATAAATTTTAAATAAAAATTTAATATTTTATATAAATAATAATTAAAATTTTTTAATATATAATTCTTAATGAATATTTTTATTTGA